TGTCAATGCCTAAAACTTCTGTATACAATCTTTTTCGTTAGAGCCAATAATTAATTAAATAAAATTGATCGTTACAAAAACTGTTTCTTTATTCTAGCGAAAAATTTTTCATGCAGAATTTATAGTTATCATCTATAGATATCTCGATTTTTTAAACTGACTAATCGATATCTCGATTTTTGAAACGGCTAATCGAATCATCGCAGCATCAAACGATTAGGTATAAGTTAACAATCTTTAATTGCGTGTCGCTAGTGTTGTGCAATAAGTTGTTAAGTGCAGTGTTTAACAATTTCGTTGGATTCGAGGATATATTCTACTTCTATTAGAGGGACTACAAAATGCATCGTAAAAGGTTTGATATGAAATTTTTCTTACCAAGTCTCATTTTTTCTATCATCTGTTCATCGACGAAACTTCGAAGTGCTTTTGATATGGCATGTCGGATAGCGCCTGCTTGCCCCGATGGACCTCCACCGTAAACTTTTGCTTCAATATCAATTTTTCCATTCATATGCGTAAAAATTAAGGGGAATATAATCTGAAAGTGAAAATTCATTCGATTAATCATAAATTAAACGTCACATCGACGAAATCTGACAATCAAATCATTTATATAAAAATTAAGGGGAACATGTATAGTCTGAAAGTGAAAATTCACTCGGTTAGTCATAACTTCTACGTATGAACAATCAAATTATTATTTATGAAAAGGGCGCATCATGATCTCTATATAAATGATCGTATATCTTAAATTTGTTGCCTGGGCTTTAAGAAAAGAATACTATTTTTAATTACCTAATGAACTTAAAATATCTTACAACGATACGTGTCCGTTATCAAAGTATATCAATTCTTGGAAACTCTCTTCCCCTGTTAAAGTGTTGTGAAGTTGTAATATACATTAAACAATAGTACGTAATCTGAACGATTTCAGGATACTAATCGTCAACTTGTTTATCAATTAGCAATCGTATTTATCGTCAACAATCACAAGAAACGTGTTATAAATCGTGCGAAGTGAATATTAATGAATTCTCACGGCTCACGACGAAAGAGCTTAATCAAAGGATATAAAAAATGGCAAAATATTCGTCTCTTTCCTTTCACTTTCACTTCCGGCTCCATGAGTCACTTTCGTCGCGATATTTAAGCTCATGACATTTACATAGAAAGTTAAATGATCGATTCGTCCGATTTCGACTGATACATTAAACATCGTTACTTTCGTTCACGTTCACATTTACTAGACTAAAAACAGGTGTGTCTCTCCGAGATGAAATCAAACTACTTTTGCGTGGGCTAGTCAGTACCTAAAGGTGTTTTCCGATTTCAATTACTTTTCTCCTTCGCCAGACTTTTCACAACACTCTCCAGCATTTTATTAGTATCTAACATCTGCTCCTTAAGCGATTTGATGCTGTCCTCGTAGGAGTGCAGCTTGTTGGCCAGGTTCTCGATGACTAGGTGCATATTCGAGTCGGAATATTCTTCGCCTTGTTGCCTCATCCACATTACGTGGTCGCTCAAACTAATATTATCGTCGTTCATAAATGGTATATTCTTCTGGGCAATTTCGTAAGCGGCTTTCAAAATATCCTTCGGTAGCCGCTTTTCCAAAGGATTCAGTGGTTTCACTATCAACACTCTCTTTCTGTTCTCCACGTTGATTTTATGATCGGACATCCATTTTCGAAATGCGTACGGAATTGAACTATTATGTAGGACCATTTCCGTGAATAGAATTAATTTCGTTTGCCGTACGAGCTTTGTGAGACCAGCGTGGTTCCTCAAGCCTTGAATATCGTGAACAGCGATCCCGACGAGCAGGTTCATCAAGATCACCGTCACGAATACGATGAAAAGCGTGAACAGGATCTGGGAGCATACTGAGAGAGGATGGTAAATAACGAAAGGTCCCTCGGACTCCAGGCCTTGATCAATTTGGGTGATAAGTCCGTCAAAGTCCAATTCTCCAGCCATCATCGCTAGTACTTTGATCAGGCCAGTGAACGGGTTGCCAAAGGACGGTTCACCGACGAAGATAACGCAGAAGCTGACCGTGAATCCTATCAGCAGTCCGGAATAAGCGAGTAGGAGCTTGGCAAATTCAAATTGTATGTGAGTGAACATCGCGACGTAGGTGCCAAATGCTGGGAGTTGACCGACCATCAACATCAAGTTGGTCCACGCGCAAAGTATAGCGAATGCGCCGACATAATTTTGCCAATCGTACGTGCGTCCCGTGTAAACGAACGACGTGACAAAAACGCTGATGATAACAACGCCGTCGAGCACGTTATCAATGTTTGAAAAGTATTGCTTCGCGGACGTGTACACCATGAAGCCGAATATCTTCCTCGGAATGGAGATGCAGGTGAAGATGAGCAGTAGATACCATTGGATCTCGATCGCAGGCCGCCTGAAGAGGAACCCGGAGATGCGTTTGCTGTTGCAAATCTTGGAGCTACTGGCATCGTCATAGTTGTAACACTTGTAAGCCAACGCCGTGAGAACATACGTGGTCATGCAGATCACGGTCATAGCGTAGAGTAGTATCCTGAGCAAATAAAATTTCCTGATTTTTTCCCATTTCAAGTGCAAGAAAGCCATTACGAGCGGATGGGACAGTAAATCTTTGCGACGTTCTTGGACGAACGTGTTGATGAAGCTGGTCTCGCACTGATTGCCACTGGGGAAGAGAAGATCGAAGTGCAGCCTCATCTCGAACTCTCTGTTATGAGGAACAGGTCTCCTGAGGGTTATAGAAGCGTCGAGTCGCTGTCGAAATACTTGCAGGGACTCCGGTATTTTTCTGAGTATAATATTCAAAGCTGATAGTCCTGCGCTGGTGGTCGCGCTAACGTCCGCTCCGGCCCAAATCAGAACGTCTACGCAATGAGACTGTTCGTTCAATGCCGCGACATGAAGCGGAGTGAAGCCTGTCCTGTCCGCAGCGTTCACCGAAGCACCGTGTTTCAATAAAATCTCTACCAGCTTCGCAGACGAATGGGTGCTCATGACAGAGAAATGAAGAGGAGTTCTATGCACGCGGTCTACCGCGTTGATGTTAGTACCGGGAGACTCGAGCAGTAATTCGACGCATTGCAACGACTGAACGAAACAGGCTACATGAAGCGGAGTCTCGCACATATGATTTTTCTCGACGACGCTCGCACCACGTTCTAATAGTAATTTCACCATTTCGTCGGCTCCTGCCCTGATAGCGCAATGTAAAACTGGTTCCACGACTTCTTGATAAAGATACGTGCTCGGTTTCGCGCCGTTATCAAGAAGCAGCTTCGCCGCGTCTAACGAATTCCCGAGGACGGCGAAGTGAAGAGGCGTATAATGATTGACTGGATTTCTGCAATTGATATCGACGCCGTTCTTTATCAGATGCTCGATGCAGGCTACGTTACCACTCAACGAGGCGGACAGAATGGCATTCATGCCGGTGTAAGGCTCGACGTAATCGAGTTTCACGCCTAATTGCTCCAATTTCGGTAGCTGATGCACTAGGCCTCGATAGCAGAACCATAAATACGCGATGTTCTTTATCCGTTCACCCGGAGGTAGTTCGAGTGACGTATTACATTTCTCGAATTCCAGCAGCATCTTCATTTCGGTAGTGGGAACGATGGACCACATTATGGATCTCAGGTCATTCCCGTTGATCTGTGCTTGCCTGAACCCGTCGAAGTTGTCGTAGAACAGGGATTCGTCGGCTGGCGGCGGTGTACCAGCGTCGATTTCCACATGATCGTTCGTAGAGTCAATCAACGGGCTGTCGTTGATCACGATCTTCTCCGAGCTGCTCGATTGTCGATGCCTGACGGATCTGAAGGCCGCGACGCATCTAGCTGACAAGAGGTCGTTCGGGGGGTCGTGCAGATCTGATAGAGAGCAATGCCTGGTTTTCCCTTCCCTTAATGGTACCCTTAACGTCTGCGTCGTTTTGTCGTTCACGGCTTCGTTAACGTTCGTCTTCGGGATATCTTCGTCGAGGTACAAACAAGAACGGCGACCTCTTAACCTGGTTAAAGAATAATGCCTGGTTCTTCTCTCGCGATTAGCCAGTGGCTTCATTTTCGATCTGGCGACATTGTCGTGCTCCTCCACCGTTCCCGAATAATCGTCGAACGACAGGCGTCGATTCCTTAAACTCGTCAACGAATAACGTCGCGGCTTTTGTTCGGTGACCGTGATCGTTGGTCCCTGCACGATGATCCTCGGCTCCTCCATAATATCCTCGTGCATCTGTTTATCGTCCATTGTCCGCTCGCGATATTATATTCGTTTCTCGCCCGGCAGACGAAAAGATGAAGAAACTGCGACGTACCACACAAGCGTACTCTCTACTATTGTGGATCACCTCGAAAGAACGTTCCAATCGTCATACCTCGGCCTCACTCTTTTCTTCGTTTATCACGTCACGTCCCAAAGTCATTTAGATCACTTTAAGAGAATGCTCTCGTCATTGCAGTACACGCGACTACCGGTGTCACTCGCCCGAGTGACTTATATTAGCTGCGGCGTATGGATTCGTTCTATATATAAGTACAGAGGAAAAGACATGCTTCCGTTCGAGGAGCAGAGCACATACTCCTTCGATTAGGAACCTTGAACTTAAAAACTAAACTGGATACGGGTCGTACCTTCCCACCCTGACACTCGCTGCTGTAAACCGACTTTCTCTACCGTACTTACATCCTCCTTTCTTGTCACAAGTCTAATTTTTTTATATTAAGCGTCGTTCACTAAGAGTATCTTCGAATCGAGTATCCCCTTGTTTCTTTAATTCAGTAACAGTTCGAGGTGACCGTTTTTACTTAACCGGTATAATTGAAGTTTCTGGTTACGCAATAATGCGATTAGCGATGATTATGTACTTCTATCATACGTTGGTCGACGGTTTTAATCACACATTTACTTCATCAAACTTGATAAACAAACTTTTTGTCAATTACGGTTTTCATTGAATCGGCACGAACTTGTTCACAGAAATATTCACTGTCTTTAAATTTGCACTATTTTAATGTGACACGTTTAGAAGAAATACGATGTGAGCGAAGAGCGGCGTAGCTCAATGTCCAGACGTTGCGAGAGTCCGCGCGGATATGAGCCTTTTTACGGATTCATACGATCTTTAAGATGTTCCGTAAAATCTAGATAGGACTTGAAACTCAGCGTCCTTGTCAAACACTAGTAACCGAGCTCTGTCTACTATCCCGGTCATTCAGATGCGGATTTCTTACAAATTGAAACCGGTTCCAGCGGTACTTAATCATCGGACACGCCGAAAATATATTTAATATACTTTCCACATTTTTCACAAATTTAAATTTCCTATATCTCCGTAGAAAAAAAGGTAGAACACTAAAGCAGTCGGCTAAACGGTAAAATCGATAATAATAGTACAGTTTAAGTTATTGAGTCGGTCTAAGCTTGTCTAGGCAACTTTTTTGATCTTATGAATATTTCTGTATGCAAATTTTACGTGTCCAAGCGTAGCTGTCGAATCCGCAATGTGAAACACTTTTGGAATTATATTTTCATGTTTAAATATAGATTTTTCGGTCGAAATTCTTTTATAAATCGAGATATTAGATTACGGAGGGCTATATATGAATTTTTTATTATTTGTGTATGATAGTTCCGTTAAAAAAAGTCGTTCGTAAAATACGATGTATTCATCTTGTATATTTATTTTTTGTACAATATTTATAGAAGGAAGGGTCAAAGCAATCTGTATGAGAATAACGTTTAATTGCAATAATAGATAAGGAGAAGCGCAATTAGAACTTGTAAAATCATCAGTTGAAATGCTAAAACAATAATTGCCAGTCAGATTCCAAGAAGCGATTGTTAATTGTTTTCGTATGTAGGTGTAGTCGTTACCTGTTATTTTTGAAGAGCACTTCACAAAGATTATCAATCAAAACTTTTTATTCCAACAAGGAAGTGTAAGTTGAACGTTTCGAGGAGCATTCCAAGAGGCGCGTAGAATAAATTAATAAGCATGACCGATGAGAAAATTAATTCATATTTAAAAATACACGATATAAAATAGTAGTAGAGAATGGAAAAATTATTTCAATTAACATATCGATTTGCATTCCCTCATCGTTTGACATTTTTCTGTTTTTACTTGCGAAACTTGTGTTTAAACTTTGTAAAAGTCCTTCTAAAGTTGGGTAATAACACGTTTCTTGAAATCGCTGTGTGGTCAAAACAGTCTGGGCACAGAACTCAAACAATTCTTCAAAATGATTCACTTTCTATAGTCAACGTGTAATATTGAGACTGGATCTTAAATGATACTTTTTCAAAACCAAAACCTTGTCAAGCACCATTGCAAGGTATTCGTGAGGATAGTATGCAGTTAATTTTAAAAGCTTAATTGGCTGCAGACTCAATTTGCTTAGATGATCAAATAAAATATAATCACAATTCATTACGTCCTTACATAAAGTTGCATTTTCTAAAAAGTGTTATTATCTTTTTAGCAGCCTTCTTATGATCGTCTAATAAGTACTTTCAAAGCACGTATTATACTTAGCTCCTTTACAATCATTTAAGACTATTTTTTGTTCATATCATTGTGGGAATTCAAATCTGTTAGTAGAATTATTTTTAGACAAAGAACACTCACAAAGCTCAGGAACTAGTTTATTTATACATTCCTAATTAGATAAAAAATTTCTTCCAAAAATAAAATTTACATTGGGATTATCGTTTTAATTTACATAATTAGATTAGAATTATTTATACAATTTGAACAGTCATATAATGCGTAAAATTAAGTAATAGTGAAATTTTTCTCGTTGTATTTAATCGATTCCTTTGATCATTACTATAATTAGAGTTGTGTCGTGGACGGAATATATCAATATATAGTAAATACAATATTGTACAAATATTGAGACAAACCTATACACTAAATCGTTTCATTTGTTTTATACGAAACCACTGAGAGTATATTTTTCAATTTTTTATCATGATACAAGTCGTTATGTAAATGTTCACGATGTTCTTTTCACATAAAGAGTCAAAATCCAGCCGTCTCGAGCAGCATTTAAATTGCGAAAAGTAAACGAGAATAAATTTCAAGACTAAATCGCGGTGTTTCCATTCCATAAACGTTTCTTTGAAATTCGTTTCAAGGCGCGAGAATATACTCGAAGTAGATTTGATCGATGATCTTCAACAATGATCCCACGGTTTTGATCATCCGGATTTTCCACCTCAAACCTTTTTTTTTCTTCTAAAAGATTGCATCAGGCTTTATAAAAGAAAGATTATCATTAGACTGCAGATTCTTATGCAAAATAAAATGCTTGCGGTACCCATTTAAAAAATGTGAAGTTTCTTTTAGAATTTAAACATCGTGATACACTTATAATATTGCATGCACGCTTTATAGTCAGTTTGCATAAAATTCACGGTCTAATTATCATAAATAGACTTTAACAACGGAAACGAACAATTACTACTTTTTCGACTGTTCGATATCGATATAGTATTAAAAGCAGCATAACGAAGATATTGAGAATGATTCAGATGATTCTCAAATTAAACTTAATTATTCTTTTCCTCTTCCTTCTCATGTTTGTCGTTTACCAACGTCATCACGAGATCCTGCAGGAGTTCGTGATTCCTTTCACAGATCTTCTTCAATTCATTCAATTCTCCTTTGATCGAGAAATCATCGACGGAAATATCCTCTTCCGGCATTCGTCGACGGAACGTAGAGTATGGCTCACTTTTCAAATACGTGTACGCTGTGCTGTTGCTTTTCCTACTACACAATGTCCCAGTCAAGTTCTTCCGTTCTTTGGGGATCTTGTGCGCGGCGGTTAGCAAATCGCGAGGCAATCTGGTCTCTCGCGGGTTCAAAGGACGCACAGTTAGAACGGCTCTCAAGGGCGAGGGCAATAGTAAAGCTGTCCAGCGTAGGATCTTCGTTAGTCGTTTTGGCATCATGCCTAGGAATAGAGCGGTCTCGACATCGTAAATAAGCTTCGTTTGACGAACGAGTTTTGCGAGTCCCGCAGTTTTTTGTAGGCCCTTTATATCGTGGACTGCGATTCCGACCAGCAAATTCATCAGCACGATGGTAACGAATAAAAGGAAGAGTACGAATGATAACTGTGCGGATACTTGGAGCAGGATCCAAGACGTGCCACTTGAGTCTGAAGATTTACCGTCCTCTCCCTGGGGAAAGAACAGATCTTCGAAATCTAATTCCCCAGTCATCATGACGAGGACTTTGATCAGTCCGATGTGAGGACTGCTGAACGATTTCGAGCGCGGGAATATCACGCAGAAGCTTGCAGTGAAGCCTACCAAGAGGCAGGCATATGCTAACAGAAGCTTGAATACTTGCGCTTGGACGCTGGTGAACATCGCCACGTACGCTCCGAATATCGGCAATTGACCTATCATTAGCATAAGATTGCTCCAACCGCAAAGCACGGCGAATGCACCTACATGGCTCTGCCAAGGGTATGTTCTACCGGTGTAAATGAAAGACGTGGCGAACACGCTTAGGATCACGCACCATTCGACCATGTTCTCGGCCTGCGTGAAGAACTGTCGAACTGATACATAAGTTGGGATGCTGGTCAGTTTGCGGAATGCCTCGAGGATCGTGAGCACCATCAGCGCGTACCATTCCACCTCGAGCAGGGCCGGGTGTCTATACAGAAAACCGTTTATGCCGGTGGTATTTGCACACAATGGTGGCTGAGTATTATCTGATTGACCGTGCGACTCATTGTAACAGTTATGCGCCAGGGCAGTCATTACCCAACCAGTGAGTATAAGAACGTAGAATAGGTAGAAAATCAGTCTACCCACGTAATATTTTCGAATCTTCTGCCATTTCAAATGAAGAAATGCTTGACAGAGCGGATGCTCGAGGATCTCCTTGTACCCTTCTTTTACAAAGGTCCCGAGATATCTTATTTCGCCTTGTTGCTGGTGCATCAATAAAGGATGAAAGTCGAGACGAAGTTCCACCTCTCCAGTGGCCGAGCCATGTTGATGAAGTGTTATCGAGGCATCTAGTCTCTGCTTAAAGACATTCAGAGACGTCGGTGTTTTACGTAATATGATGGACAACGCGCTGGTACCGCCTTTTGTTCGGGCGCTCAGATCCGCTCCATGTTGAATCAGAATATCCACGCATTGAGACAATTCGTTCAGAGCAGCGATGTGTAATGGCGTGTATCCGTATTTATCAGTTTTGTTCACGTCCGCTTTCCACGTTATCAGAAATTCTGTGACGTCGTAAGCTAATAGGGATCTACCTAAGGCGAGATGCAAAGCTGTTCTACCGTCGCTGTCTTCCATGTTAGGATCGCAACCTCCTTTTTTCAATAGTATTTCTACGGACTCTAGAGAATGAGAACGAGCAGCTATGTGTAAAGCTGTCTGGTCCCTGTGATTCTTCAGATGAGTATTTGCTCCCTTCTCTACTAGTAAATCGACGTTCTCCACGCAGCTGGCCTGCGCTGCGATATGCAAAGCAGTGTCACCTTTCTTGGTCCTCAAATCTAAATCGCAACCAGCGTCTATGAGTACTAATAAGCAACTCGGATCTCCTCTATCTGCTACATGGTGTATAGCAGCGTACCCATTGCAATCTAAACTGTTTAGAGTCGGATTGTGAGGGGCCAGTAGTTTTAGCACGTTGAAAGCGCTTGATCTAGCCGCGGCATGCAAGACAGTTTCATCTCCAAAAAAAGATTCCTGGCTAAGACCTAATTGAAAGAAATATTGAGCTACTTTGAAAGCATTCCTGAATGCGGCGTAATGAAAGGGTGTGTGGGCGCGTTCTACATAAAAATTAGCACCATTGGCCAGCAGATATTGCACGCCTTCTAGAGAATTATTAAATGCGCACAAGTGCAACGGAGTCAAGCCTTGTCCTTGTTCCGAGTGGTTCAAATCCGCTCCGCACTTGTGCAAAGTCTTGATCAGACTTGCTCGATCGAGAAAACACGCGTACAGTAATAGAGCGTTTATTTCCTGCTGCTTGTAGAGTTTCACCAGGCGCTTAGGGTTCTCATCTATCTTATTCTCCTCCAGATCTTCGAGTAACTGTACCCGTCCTCCTACTTGTCTCATGTGCTCTGTCAAAAGATTCCTGATGATATCTTTGTTGATCTGTAGCGTCCAGTTGATTTCTTCAGTGCACGAGCTTTCGCTGGCACACATGGAGTAACAATGGGGTTCCTCTATAGGTGGTGGTGTCCCGTATTCTAAGCTTCGTTCGTCCGAGGACCAACTGGTTTCTGGTTCCGTTCGGGGCGAGCTCTTCGACGCCAACCATCGCGTTAATATCAAAGACGTTACGGTTGTACGCTTCGGTGTGCTTGGAACGGATACCGTTACTTTGCCGTCCTCCATATCGACATTTCTTTCTATTTGCACTTTCTTTTTCATCGATGGCGAACACGAAGCCTGCGAATGGTTCTCCATCTTTCTTTTTTACGCTTCGCGCGGTTACATCATTGGTCTATAAAGAGTATTGTCGTGAGTAGTAAGAGCGCAAAAAGGCTCAATGGCAATTCATGAATGAACTAGCGGAACGTGTGTTAAAATAATTGAATTATATTGCTTTGCTTAAATAAATGATTTAAGCATATTTATATTTTTCGAATTTCGATTATAATCATTGTTTTTAATATCAAGGATCATCCTTCGAATCTCTTTTTAAATTATAACACAAAAGCAATAATGACGTTGAAAAACAATGCTCTCAATTGTGCAATTACAGCGACAGGATAACAAAAGTTAGAAATTACGATTCCAAACACAATTTACTGCAATTACTTTATTAAGGGACTTAAAGGCACATTGACATTTTTCGAATACGTAAGACGAATAATGAGATAATTAATCATATAATTGAATACAACGTTTTACGATTTAAATCAGATCTTTAGTCTTGAACTTATTTTCGTGAAAATTTTATTCTGTTATCATTCTTAGCGGAGGTAAGGTAGTTGATGACGTCTTATTCTGTATCGCGTGAGGCGCGAATGTCAATTGGAAAATCGTTGATCGTTAAGAACTGCCGCACTGGTATACCTTTAAATTGATATTATTTATATACCGAGATCGAGTCCTTCAAGTATTGAAGATAAGAACGTTCCCGACATACTAATCCGATTCGAAAGGCGCGAGGAAAGTATGCCAGATGACATTCACACGTATTCCGCGTTTTCTAAATGCGAATCATCAAAAAATATTAAACAACAGCACATGAATTATCTATTAATTTAAATTACTACAATTATATCGATTTACAGAATAGTTTCCACGCTTCTTTTAAAATATTGTGTCGGTGACGCGTTTAATCCACAAACATTTGCAAAAGTATTGTGTAATCATGAATAATAACCGGAAATAATTTGGTTTCATCACCACATTGCTAATGACATTCCATCAGACTTTGTATTTACGAATTCAACTTCTTCCTTTTCGCATTTAGATCGTACACGTGTTCAAAATATTTATACCTTTTCTCTTCAGCTTTCAAAGTTGGACACATTAAACTAATATAATTTTAAGCTTGCTTTAGTGAACAATTGTTTCACTGAGAAATTCGTAGGATGATCTTCTGATCTCAGAAACAAGTAGACTCTATTTTCATTTTCCATCACAAACACGTTTCGAAATCCAGTGTGATATAGAAATGTTCACAATTCTGTATGTTTACCGTTAGATTTAGTAATTCAGCAAGTGTAATGCTTTTCCACGTGCGAATTGAGTAAATGTACCGAACGGTGGATAATATTGTGAGACTATCGTTCCTTAGGACGGCTCGATTAATACTGAGCGCGCATCGAGCTTCTTGTACGCATTCTCTCCTGAGATTCTTCAGATCACGATAAATCGCACATAAGAAATTTTAAAAATTCGCATGACTTCGTATTCTTTCCACTTGAATAAACTCATTCGTCTTCGCCTCTTCTCTATTCAGGATTCGTGTGCTATATTCGATGCTTGGTTCATTTCCAATTCAAAAAATATTTTGGAACATAATCTCGAAAAAGAGATTGAATGTTCGAAATCGCAAGTTTTAATTATTAGTTTATTTTCTCTTGTGCATAAAAGTTGGTTCAACACGTATTTTTAATCGTGAAGATGTAATTTTTAATTATTTATCAAATTAGATAATATTAGAAATCCTTCTATCGGAAAATTCTTCTATCTAAATCTATAGTTGAAAATTCGAATACATGTTGGTCACAGTGATGACGCATACAAAATGTTAAAAATAAATTGAAAGGGAATCATCATTGAAAAGCTATTTATCCTTGATTTCAATCAGTTCCTTGTAAATCGTTAATGATTGAAGTCAACGTTCAAAACGTGTAATTGCACACGAAATATATGCGGTATAATATTATTTATAACACTTACCTATTGTCTTTAAATTATAATATGAAGAAATATAGTTTTTCACACCACCGTAATGATACTTTATTCATAAAATCGGAAATGAATGTAATTATATTCGAAAATAGTACTAGGTTTCAATTATTATTGCTAATTTAGTAAAATATGAACTTACCTGTTCTCGACATTGTATATTGTCAAAGTACGTGATGTCCTTTCCATTAATAGTAATGTTACCAGATCCTTCGCCTATAATTTTGACCTCGGATTTCGCACTCTTCCTACCAGATACTGGAACAAATCAGTAATAACAATAATACAAATAGTGTTACGAACTGAAAATGATGATTTATTTAATACTTACTCGCAACAATAAATGGTCTGTTATTGCTGTCGTATTCAAGCTGCAACAAGGAAGTTACTTTATATAAAACAGAATAGAGGACGGAAACAAATATTGAAAATTTTGACACTTACTTTTGGTATTTCTGCCTTCTTGGTAATAGTTGTCAATTGTTTTCTGTACGTCATAACGAATGATTCTACGTGTTTTGATAAAGGATGATCAACTAATATATCCATACTTTTTACAAAGTACTCATACTAGAACAAATCAAAAACCTTTCCAATGTGCGAGCTAAGAACATATAAAATAAAAATATAAGGACCATATTTGAATTTTACCTCTTCAGGTTTAAGTTCTTCGAGTAGTAAAGTCTCCAATTCTATTTTCGATAACCAGTTGAATCCAACCAAATTTCTGGAATAATAAGTAGATTGATAATTTTCGAAAGACGTCATAAACAATAGAAGTCAGTATAGCTTACATTTTATTTTCTGGAGTAAGTTCGATATTCATAGCCACTTTCTTGTCCTCGATTTTATTTAAATAAATCATCGACCCAGCTATTTTCTGTACATAAAAATATTCCCTTTTACCAAGAAAACTGCACGTGCGATGTATGTAAATGAAGAAAATTAATCTTGAAATGCTTACGTGAAGTATTTCATAATAATTGGGTTTAGCAGTATAAAAGAGAAAATGATGAGGTCTGCCAGATTCATCGAATTCCGCTTCCTTTCGTTTATGTAATTCCTCAGGAGGTATCATCATAGGACGAGCTAACTTGTCATATATGCCAGATGGAAACAAATACTCTATTGACTCCTGTCAAAATTAATAATTAAAAGTTAATAATATATAAGAAATTTCAAAATCTAAAATCTAATGGAAATATGACTTACTTTAATATCTTTTTTACTGATTTCTTCAGGGTTTAAGCCCATCATATTTGCCAAATGTCGTTTTCCAATATTATACTCAGCCACTTGCCTTTCGATGAATTCCTCTAAAATCAAAAGTTGATTATAGTTAATGTGAACAACGATATCGAGTTTATACGTGTATATGCTATAAAACAAAACTCACTATAATCTTTGGACCGCTGCATATATGCTTTCATGGCTTTATTGAGTTTTTTTTCCGACACTTTCTGTCGATAAATCTCGTCGCTAAGAAGTAAATTAACATCTTCTTCTCCTTGCGAGGTGACTGAAGAATATGATTTGGAAATAACGTCCTAAAATCATTGTTACATGCGAGGTTATATTAATTTGTTCATGATTAAAAGACGTCTATAAAATGGATTATTAATTAATGATCTTTTTACATCTTACCGAACGCTGAATAATACTTATTGAACTTCCAGCGGCATTAAAATTATTGATGTTCATCACATTTCGAATGTTTAAAAGGCGTGTAAACATCGATACAGCCATTCTCATAGATTGAAATTTATCAATGATTATTTTCCATTCATTAAAAAAATGTGAATTGCATACAATATAATACACGGTTGGTATTTTTTTTTAATTCATATTTTATAACTAATTACTGAAAGTTATTCAGTTAGTATTACACGTGCTTCGTACTTCAAAATAAACACGAGCTACACACCAC